GGTGGTGACAAAAGAATTTGCATAGACTATCGTAAATTAAACGCGATTACAAAAGCTGATGCTTATCCTTTACCCTGAATTGACGATTTATTAGAAAGTTTTGGAGCTGCCCAATGGTTTACTACATTAGATTTTGCAAGTGGATACTAGCAAGTAGCTATAGATAAAGCGGATATAGAGAAAACAATATTTATAATACCTTTCGGGCTATATGAATTCTTAGTAATGCCTTTCGGACTAAGCTATATGCCTGGAACCTTCCAAAAATTAATGAATAAAGTCTTACAAGACTTTTTCAGAGATTTCATTGCTGTATATTTAGACGATGTTATAATCTATTCAAAAGGGAATTTTGAAATGCATCTGGACTATATATATCGAGTATTCCAAGCTATTTAACATGCAAATTTAAAAATCAAATTAAAGAAGTGCTATTTCTGTTTGCCTAATATTCATTTCTTAGGATATGTAGTATGATGAAATAGAATTCGTCCAGACCCAGAAAAATAATTAAAGTCAAGAATTTTCCAAGACTGACGAACCTTACGCAACTTTATGCTATACTGGATTATTTTTATACTATCAAAAGTTTATAAAGAATTTTTTAAGGATTGCTCGACCCATGCTTACTTTATTAAAGAAGGATGAACCCTTTCTTTGGGGAGATAAACAATAAATAGCATTTGATCGACTAAAAGAAATGCTAATCAAAGCTCCGATCTTAAGTTATCCTAATTTTAATAGACCTTTTATTATCTATACAGACATATCTGGAATAGGTCTAGGAACTGTTCTCTTATAAGAGCAAACAGATGGAAAAGAACATGTTATTGCCTATGCAAGTCGAAGTCTAAACTCAGCTAAAAAGAATTATGTCATAACTGATCAAGAATGTTTAGCAGTTATATAGGCCATAAGACATTTCCAACATTATTTAAGCATAAAACCTTTTGTACTTGTAACCAATCATTCAGCTTTGAAATGGTTACAAACTTCTAAATTACCTAAAAGTCAAAGAGCAAGATGGGTAATAGAGCTACAACAATACGAATTCACTATTAAACATAGACCCGAAAAGGCTAATACAAATGCAGATGCATTATTGTGAATACTAGATGAAATAGAAGTCTTTTTCTTAAATTTTAAATCAAATGTAGAAACTGGTTATAATTTCTCTATCGAAAATAACTATATCACAGATAATCCATCTCATTCTGAGAAAAATAATGAATATGAGACTGAATGGTTCGTTTCAAATCCTTTACATAGCCAGAATCAAATGTTAGAAAATAAACTTTTTGATGATTAGTTTAAGCTAGTAATTACAACTGTAGGATATCAATTCCTACCTGAAGAAATGCAGGATATATATAAAACAAATATAAAAATTAAGCAAGTGATAGCGGGATAACCTATAAATAGTGAAGGATCTAGGTATAATTATTCCTATAATATAGAAAACCATCATCTGTATACATACTGTAAAGCTTGTAAGACTAATTTACCTTACAACACTATTAAACACGAATGTGTAATTGGATACAAATTAGGTCAAATCCAACCAGACATGGATCCAAGATATTTAGACAATCAAGTATGGTAGAATAAGTTGATAGAAGTTAAAGCCCAATCATTAAAAACTCAGATGTAAGTGTTACATAGAACACTTCAAAAACTCCCCTTTTACCCATCTCTCTTGAACATATTTAACCTGAGTTTTCTGAATTAGATAAAATATTTTTCTTTATTATTTTTTTTTACTGCCTTTATTACTTAGGGTGAAAGTGAAAGTGTATGCAGTGTGACATACAGCCCATCATGGATATCAATCAATATAATTGTATTTACTCTTATCTTACACAACAAATTATTCCCACTAAATTAATAATCCCCAAATCTATTAAACAATTTAAAAATTTTTGTATACCTTATATAGTTCAAAATAATTATTTATATAGAAATGACAAAAGAAACCCTGGAAAGTTATTAAGAGTAATTAGAACTCATGAAATGGAAGCTATTTTATATATGATGCATAATGATCCAACAGCTGGAAATTTTACTACTGATATTATGTTTAATAAAATTAGAAAAAGATATTATTGGTCTCAAATGTATAAAAATATTCGTACATATGTTAAAAGCTGTGACAAATGTCAAAGAAGAGGAAACCAAGTAAACATGAAAATTTACATCTAATTGCAATACAAGCACCTTTCTATCAAATCAGAATTGACTTTGTAGGACCTCTACCTATAACAGACCAAGAAAATAAGCATATTATAGTGGCCATTGATTACTAAGTGGCCAGAGGCAAAGGCTGTACCAAAAGCAACTGCTTCTAAAGTAGTTCAATTTATTTATAAAGAAATTATTTGCAAACATGGATGCCTAATGAAGATATTAACTGACAGAGAAATCCATTTTAATAACCAAATGGTAAATGAATTGATGAATAAATTTAAGATAAAACATCTCCTATCAACTCCTTATCATCCTCAAACCAATGGTCTAGTAGAAAGATTTAATAAAACTCTATGTGAATCTTTAGCCAAAACTGCCCAAGAAATTTCAAATTGGGATTTGCAAATTGCATCCACATTATTTGCATATCAAACTTCCAAGCAATCAACAACCAAGATATCTCCCTTTTACTTAACATATGGAAAAGATGAACAATTATCCCTTGATGAACCAATTAAAGAAAATGTAACTCTAAATCAAGATATAGAATCCTTAGTGGATGATTTACTGCAAATCAGGGGAAAAGCTAAAAACTATGTGGAAAAATCATAAGTAAATCAGAAAGATCGACATGATCGTAACCTAAAGAAGATCTTTCATTTTAAAATAGGGGATAAAGTTTTGTATTACCATGTGGCAAAAGAAAAGCAATAATCTGAAAAACTAGAACCAAAATGAAAAGGACTATACTATATTCATCAAATTTTGTTAAATGGATCTTACAAAATAAGAGAAATAAATGGAAAAGTTTTACAAATATCTGTTAATGGAGATCTTTTAAAACAATATCATGATCGACAAAGTTGAGAACCTCAAATAGTTATATAGTTCACCTATTCCTTTTTATCATTTATTTTATTTTATTTTTTTTCTCTTTCTTCTCTGTTATTTTTTTTTTATTATTTTATTATTATGTCTTTAGAAGATTTCAAAAGTGATTTGACAAGAAGAATCTCCAATAACCTTATCTTTACTATACCTCTTTATACAGATAACATGAAGCTAAAAAAGAAAATTGAAATAACTTATCATATGCTAAGAAGAGCCTCAATCCTTAGGGACCGTATATAATGATGATAAATGCCTTCTATCTTGAACAACTATTAGAAAAAGAAACTTTTTCTCCAACTCAACATACTTACTTTAAAGGTATAATTACCAAATATTATTATATAGCATCAATACGAATCTATTTCATTTTTGAATTCCTAGAACCAGAGTAGATTCAACATTCTCAATATCTAAATATTTCTGAAATATGCTCAATGAAAAAGAAAAATTATCAATCTTTAAGGGAAGAAGCAATGTTGATTTGGTCTGGAGACCAAAATTTAGGGAAGGAAATTGAAACCAGCAGAAACTGACAGACTAGTCATATATGCCAAATCTGCCAAATCTGCCATATCTGCCAAATAGGACAGACATAATATTTATTATTTTTCTATTATTTTTATTACTATTATCATTTATATCATATCTAATATAATTAGCATATCTGTTAGCTCTGTTATTATTGTCAGTATTATCATAAATATCATAGATTTTCTTTAATTGTATTTTCCTATATAAAGGGCATGAAAATGCCTTGGAAAAAGGGGAGATTGAAAACAGATTCCTACAAGTTCTTAACATTGTATTCAAAATACATTTAATAACAATAATAAACACACTTAACATTTTGCAAACATAAAACTTATAATTTATTTCTTATTAACTAAATAAACTCTCTAATAAATAGCATGTTAAGTTGATTAGATTTAAGTCATAGCTATTGCCTTCCTGACTTCAAATCATAGTTAACTTATTCAATGGAAAGATTAACGTTAACAGTAGGAATGATATTATTTTATTGTCATTACCGTTGTACTTCTACTTTATTGAATTAGAAATTTTATCTTGATACACTTGGTCTCCTATTCATGATTGAAAATTGAGCAGCATCATTATGACTGATGAAAAGAATGACTATGATATGAAAATGAAGCAGTGGTCAATGATAAGTTTATAGGTAAGGTATTAGAATTATTACTTGTAATTGCCATAGTTGCATAGAAGTTAAAGGTTACGATTTGAATGATCTTTTTTGACTTGACAAATATAGCATATTTGATGAAGATGAAAGAGCGACCAAACTTATCAACTTATCATATATAAAAAGATTACAAAATGTGATAATTGTCAAAAGCAAAAATATTATTATAATAACTAATTTCCTATCTTTATTTTATCAATCATTTCAAAAGTGTGTAATTTCTGGATTAACACTGAATACATATACAAATAAGTTGTTAGAAACTAAATAATAGAGAAAATATGATCTGAATATGTTGATGTCAGATTGATTTGATTTAATTATTTAATACTAATCTGTCTCTTTTAAACTGTGTTAGTTGCGTATTTTAGATTTTTATCTCCGCTTATTAAAGAAAGACTAGGGAAAAATATGGAGTCTTTGCAATAGAAAGGGAGAAAACTCCAAAAAAATTAAAATTTTAGTTTATAAGCCAAAAATGTTCTAAATACTATAATTTGTTCAGATTTATTATTAACTCATTTTTTATTTTATTTTGAGTTTCCTCCCTTTCTATTGCAAAGGCCTCATATTACTTTCAACAATCGATATTACCCATCATCAAATTCTATTAGAATGAACAAATTGATAAATAAAAAATTGAGAAATATAATAATAAAATACATTGGAAAATTGTTTTTTTAAAAAGCATGCTAAACCTTATCTTTTCAAATTTTTTTTTTTTTTAATCACAATTATAAAATCTGAATCCAATATTCAACCCAACTGCAAAACAACCAAAATCTTGATTAAATCCAGCATAAAGCAAGCTAGAAGCGTACAAAGCAGAAGATGAAGGTTTAGATAAATTCATTTTTCTTTGAATTTTTTTGTAAGAAAAGATTCTAATTAACGAAAAACTTTATTTTCATTTTTAAAGCTTTGTCTTAAAAAATGTGTATAAACTATTTTTGACCAGATTGAGAACATTTGGAATTGAATGTCCTTGTCAGCTCGACTGAATAAGATCAATTATTCATTATCATAACATGATATAGGTATAGGAATAGAAGAATATTAAGTTTTGGAATTGATTATCAATCCTTTTATATAGCATCTTGATCATCAGATACATATGTAATTCACTAGTTGATATATTGAATTTCTGAGTTATTCATTATCTGAGAGAGGTACCTTCAGTCAATTTTAGAGTTCTCGACTATAAAGTTTTATGCTTAATTATCATGCTATTAAACGTTGATATTTATGATTTAAATTTTAAAAATAATATAAAATTTATTGAATTGAAATCAAGAAATACTTAATAAAGCATATTCAATGATTTTATTTTATGTGAATTACTCTTAAATTGGAAATCATATCCATATAAATGATTAAAAGTATTGCTATTATACTAAAATTTACCTGTGTTATAAATGATAAGATAGCGAGATTTTCTTAACCTTGAAAGTTCACTTAATTCAACCATTTAATCAATAACATCACTATTTTATTGTAATTTAAAATTTAATTTCTGTGCTATTGTTTTTCTTTTTCAGATTAAAATAGGTTTATTGTGATCGGGAAAATCACCAGTAATTTTATGATATAATTATATCATAAAGTTACTGGTGATTTAGATTAGTTATAAAGGTAACTTCATAGTCTGCCGGTATCTTTATAATATAGTGGTAACTTTATAGTCTACTGGTATCTTTATAATATAGTGGTAACTTTATAGTCTACTGGTATCTTTATAATATAGTGGTAACTTCATAGTCTACCGGTATCTTCATAATATAATGGTAACTTCATAATCTGCTAGTACCTTCATAATATAATTATAATTTCATAGTCTGCTGATAACTTCATAATCTAATTACATAATCTGATGGTAATTTCATAACCTAATATCATAATCTGATGGTAATTTCATAACCTATATATAGGTATTTCCTTTGTGTTTATAGCATTATTTTAACTGTTTTCTGTATATTACGGTAGTAACTTCATAGTCTAATAGCAGATGTAGTACTTTAATTTAATGGTGATATTACGATCTAATAGTAACTGCTTTCTTCTTGTTTCTGAGTTATTTACATGTTAAATTCTTTAATAAGATTGTTAATCCTCTGTAGCTGTTTTGATATCTGATTTTATGTTGTAAATGTTGGTCTTCTGCACCTGATTATATGCTAGATTTTATGTTGAAGTGCTTTCCCTTTGTGCCTATTTGGTTACCTTTTTAGGGGCTGAAATGGTGTAAAAAAAGATGACAGATAGCGCGGTTAATTTGCTATCTCTATTTTCAATAACAGCCTGTCATGCAAAATTTCAGCAACGATCTGTTACCCAAAATGCTTTTCATAATTATACGAGATTTTATTAGTCTATTATTACAAAATGAGTAAGTATAATGTTTATCTTATTTATCTTATTCATTTTATAAAGTATATTCATATTCTGTAAGTATTTTTATTATATTTTTTTTCTTATCTTAATTGAATATAGAGTAAATATTAGGTATGGTAATATCTATGCGAGTATTACATGTAAAAAAGTTCAATTTGCATAACTTTCAAGGAATCATGTCTGACCCATTTGATTATCGGAATAAAGTGACTTTAAGATATACAATTTGAAAGATCAAAGCTGATGTCATTTTACAGCCCAACTATTGCCTATTTGTTGCCAGTATGTGTATGCCAATTTTGCATTCTAAAGTTGGAGATGTAATATATATTATCTTAGGCAGCTCATTTATATCATACCCGAGTACATGTTTAGAAAAATGAAGGCTTTTCCCAATATTTTAAACAATGCTTACGGAAAAGCCTTCATATCATATCTGGATACATATTTAGAAAAGATAAGTTTTATGCAAAGGTTATATCATACTCGAGTACATACCACTAAGATAGGGGTTTCTTCCAATATTTATATAATAATTCTGAAAAAGTTCCTATCTAAAAATATATATCTAGAAACTTTTCTTTTACGATTCATTTAATAAGTTTATTATCATTTTTTTTACACTCATCAAAAAAAATAATTAAATATTTCAGAATATATTGTGATATAATAACTTTATCTACTGTCAATATGTATACCTCAACTATTTTCAACCAAACTGATCACAAAACTTCATCCGCTATGATAATACTGAGTTTTTAGCTAGCATTCTATCACATAATGAGATCATAGCAGAATATGATAACGGGATAACTGCTATACTTCAATAAAGCCTATTTAGCAAGTAATCCATACATTTCATTCTTACTGAAGTTAGTGATGATACCTCTGAATATACAGTAGCGGTCATAAGTATCTGACCGCCTCTAACTCCGGCTACAAGTAAGTAAATTCAAAATTTTTTTTTTTAT